TTTTTCTTTTTTCAATATATATATATATATATATATATAATGTATAAATGCGAGTATTGCGCTTGGTTACAAGCGTTTAATAAGTCTAAGAATGGTATTGATAATCCATTTTAATTTTAAAATTGTTTTAAGCAATGTTTTAAGATGCTAATACAGCTCTCTGATTGGCTTATGACTTAATCTTAAGACTTAAGCCAGTCTCAAATATAAGAATAATGGATACTAGCATAAATGATTATGTAAAGGTACGGACTAGTTATCACTGCAGAAATGATAAAAATACCATCAATGCAGAGCATGTGCTGCCACATATTGGCAATCGTGTGTAACAAGAAGGTAAATCGTTAGTGCGCTTACTACAGAAGATAATACGTGCTAGTTGACATCAATACCTAATACGTTACCAACTGTGGATCGTATTAGTAAAGAGAAACAAAATATAATACTATAAATTTTATCATACATACATGTAATATATTTCAATACTGTTTATATTTTCAACAGAGCCAGACAGAATATAATCAGAATACATTACTTGTAAAATATGAATTATATTGTGTATGAATGTGTTTCAGCAAATGTTTTTATGAATTTAATTTTAAATCAAATGCTAATTTGACATAATAAATTATTACTTCGTATACAATTAATAATTAACCGTCAACAACAATGGTAATTATTCATGTCCGGTTACTAAAAAACTATTTAATTCTTTCCGTAATTAAAAAAGATTAGATTCAATCTCTTTGTTACTTTTTTTTACTTTTAAATTCTGCCAATGAAATAGCTTCATTTCAATCTTGTTTTCTGATCACGTATTACCACTTTGCATGCCAAACATATAATACCGGAAAAAATAATCATTCGCGCGCGAAAAATACCATGAACGGATATCGTACCATCTCGCCACTTGCTTAACACAGTCTCACGTTTCTCAAGGATCTCTCTGAGCTTCGCTGGGCCCTTAGGCCTTCTCGCTTCCCTTGTGCTTAAGTACATAATCTTGTGTTCGGCGCTAGCCGAACTCTTCGCTCTTTCGTTCTCTTCATTAAGGCACCTTCTATCACTATCAACGAAATTCGCTGCCCACAAGATTCACAAAATTCGATTCACAAGATTCGAAACTCACAGATTACGTAAAACGAAACAGAACCATCACGGTGCATCAAATTGAACATTTTGCGAATTTATTGTCTGATAAAAAAACTTGCATAATTAACTCCCGAGAAGACGATTTAATAATTTTACGATTTAATCAACATGACAAACATAAATATGTTCATAATTTTCGCTCTCTATTTTGCAAAATATACAAAAAACTTTATTTTCAAATTTTTTGTCTTTAGATAAAAATGAATATTTTGATAATAAATCTTTTATTTTTAAAATAAGTGTGAAATTTTTCACTCATCTTAAACATATATTAATTACAATTTTTTTATACAATAAAAAAAAGCGCAATTATTACTTTTCAAATTAATGCTATCAAATATTATAATACTATATAAGTGGGAACATATGACCCAATAAATTATCGAAGTATGTTTGCGATATGTTATCGTTAATAAACGCTTTCATCTGTGAATTCTTTTTTATCCGGACAGCTGCGAAGAATTAAATTGTGTAACCCGTCTGCGTGCACCTTATCGTATACACACAATTATAACGAAATTGCTAGTAAATGAGTTAAATGACACGGTCGTGCGTAGCGATTATATATGCTCCACTAATTACGTCGAATGATGAGTGACGCCCGGCGTCTTTTATTCTGGGTGATTACGCGAACACTCTTCGCGACCTATCATTAATGATGATGCGTTTGCGAACTCGGGAAAGACGTTCTTTTTAAGTCGCGAGCCACCGAAGAACTCCGTCGAACGTACGCCGCGATGGAGGAAAATAGCAGCGACAGTATAGCTGGAGCTTAGCCAATTTTGATTTCCGTGATCGGGTCATTTATCGAACAAAACTAATTTGAAAAGCTAAATTTCATTTCGCTTTAAAGAATTAAGTTTCAAAAACGTATGCTTCACAACAATGAATACGTAAAGCTCTCCTCTATTAAGCTTTAATTAATTTTTTAATGATTTTATGTATATAACTAATATCCTTTTTTCTGGAATTCTTAAATATATTTGAAAAAGTTATATTCTAAGATTAATCTTAATCTTATGGACTTTCTTATAATAATAATAACCATTAAATAATAAACCATTTTTTAAACTTTAAGTCTTAAGTCAAAAGAGAATTGCAATTATAATCGATTCTTTTTACATTCGACTGAAATTGGTCAATTTCTTACATCTTAAATATAAAGCTTAGGTAATCGCTTATTATAAAAAGCCAATTAGACTTATGACTTTTTCGATATTTTCAGTATTTAAATATTTAACAAGAAGATAATAATTTGTTAGAAAAAAAAGAAGAAAAAATTGTTCTGGATTAATCAGTTCTTAAAATGGAAATAAATATTTCAATTTCATTTTCATTTTTTTATCATATATTAAAAACAAAACAGAGACTTGCGATCGATAAGTTTAAATCTTCACTGTAGCAGTCGCTTTCAACAAGGTTGCTGGCAAACGGCTCGAAGTTAACCAACCAAAAAAAAAAACATGTGTACTGTGTATACGCATGCATTATATAATAGACGGGAATAAACTAGCGTTTGCTAATGGAACGAATTTTAATTGCACATATTTCATGACTTTTTCTTCACCGCTAAAATAACAGCTAAATTGTTGGTGCGAAACTTTGCATTTAATTTAATTTTCAATAATTTACAAAAGCCGATCAATTGAAAAATATTCAAAAGAAATCACATATACTTTTTGCAAAAGTGCACGAAGAAATTACGCGTTAATTGAGATTCTATAATGCACACACAAAAACTAGTCCTTTCTAGGTCACCTATTTCAAGATTTGAATAATTATATTTTCGATATTTTGAACACGTGGCAAAATAATGATATCTTAGAAAATTATTCCTAGAATATTATCGATCACATTGCAATTAATACGAAGCATATATCGAAGATAAAAGATATTTGCAATAAAAATCGTAACGACAACCAATATTTTTAACATAACAGTTATGATGATGACGACGACGACAATGATGATGATGATGATGATGATGATGATGATGATGATGATGATGATGATGATGATAATGATTATGATGCTGACGACGGCAAAAATGATGATGACTAGAACTATAACGATAATGATGATGACGTCCATGATGATGAGAATGGAGCGTGGCGTATTATCCGCCGGGCAGGAGTAATCATCATTTGGCTCAGGCCAATGGGAAACACCATGAGGCTTGGAACAGGTAAGCCACTTTATAAAACTCCTCGTGCTAGCATCGTCAAAGACAGTTTCTCTTCGTACGCTTACAAAGTAAGATGTAGTAAATCCGTATCTTAAACGCGTGAGATCAACGTGCTGTTTTTTATAAAAATCAGTTTGTTTAGTTCCGACGAGAAATTCTCGTCGGAAACGACAGAAGTTCTCGCACCTATATCCGTCAGCCAGTTGAATCATTATCGTTTCAACGAATCGTGTGTTTTAATCACGTCTATATTAATATCATATTAATCACTACATTTAGAAAAACTACAATTTACAAGTAACGATTCTGATTGTGTTGTGAAACTAGTGAAGCTCACAAAGACACTAAGTGAAAGAATCAATATCTTGAGCACCATTTCTGTGACATCGCCCAAGCGACAGCTGGTACGTATAAAAATGATAAAAATTTCTTTCGCCTTACCCGTGATAGTCTCAGCGTCGCGTGTACTAACGGGAGTAACTAGCTTCTTCGATGACCTTGATGCCTGGAGAATTGCCCTTGCCGTGGGTGAAACCTTCAGGGAGGCGGCGGATGGTCGGATGGGGCCTTCGGGCCGCTTTGGACCCTCATCTTCCACGGTGGCCAGCTTGGACGCTGTAGCGAAGAGCGATATCGCCTCGCTTTCCTGAAATGCAATTTTATATTCAGTTTCGTTCAGATTAGAATAGTAATTTTAGATCAATGCATAAAATCTCTGAGAAATTTTTTTATTTTAAACTACTTTTAAAAATCATATTTTCGCACATAAATATTAATTGTTGAAAGAAGATTCCGATATTTTATCACATTTAAAAGCTCGCGATAAATTTTTCCAAAACCTATTCCCATTTGATTATGCAAATACAATTTTGCACATTGAGAGAAAAAATGATGGCAATTATTATATTATACTTTTTAATTATAATTTATAGGTCATTTTTGGTGTTCAACTGTATACTTTTTGACAGAACTATAAAATAATAATTATTATTAATATTATAGTAGTAATAACTATGTGTGTATGAAAGTGAAACTTCTAACAATAATTATTTCGTCATGCAATTACAATCACACACTTTTTTCAGTGCATGTTTTTAATGTAGATTCATTTAATTTCAGATTATGTATATTGTAGTTCTATGAGTTCAGAGAACACGAAAGAAAGCACATTCTTTTCCCGCGCATGTCATCTCCAGAACAAATACAAAGTATTTTTGAAAGGGAGGTTTCACCTTCCCCACAAGACCCTAAATACTCATCGGTAGGAACCGGCGTTTAAGCCGTTGTGCTTATTTAGATTGGTCCGCTCCGGCGGACACGTTCATTTTGCTCGTCTTCCGGTTCTAGTTTATTTCAGGACACTGACTCGAGACGACACAGACATTTCAACGTTTTTGCAAAAATATAAAATCTACTGAATGTTATGCCTTCTTACAGATACTGATTTTAATGCAATTATCGATCTAATTTTAATCTTTAAGTAGGTAGGTTGTGTTCAAAACATTCCTAAAAATTTTTATAGAATTAAATTTATTTATGCTTTTATGATATAGAGAAACGTATTATATTATTTATGCTTTTATGATATAAAAAAACGTAAAAATAATGAACTTTAAGATTTCTAGATAATATTTTTTACTATTCTCCAGAATAAGGTTTTTACCACAATTATAATAGAAAGTGCTACTATGACCTAGTATTTAAAGGTTAAATTTATAAGTAAATATATCTTTATTCTAAATATATCTTATAAATTTATTCTAAATATATCTAATTCTAAAATCTAAAACTACGATCCTGCTGTCAACAAATTACTTCGGTAGCAAGATCAATTTTATAGATTTTAAAATTATAAAAATTAGATATAGAATAGAATCAACATTGAAATCAATATTCAAAAGATCAATTAAATTTGCATAAACAAACGCATGTAACAAACTCTCAATATTTTGTTAATTTTAGCAATCTTGATTATAGAAATTTCTTTGTCATTGATATCTTATCAATGCGAGTGATAAGGCAACAAGAATCGCTCATTTATACGTCATATATTAATCGTCATTATGTTTATTCTCATTAACACGTATACCGTTGAGAGTTAAAACATCCACGAGCTTTAATACCACGTTTCACCTTAATTTATGCAGAGCACGAGCAGAAATATCTAGGCTAAATAGACGTTACGTAAAATTTTCAGATGATATTTATGAGCAAACCTCAACGTCACAGTCGAAGCGGTGCAGCTGCGTGACCGGAGGTGCTCCGAGACGCGTTTTGCACATCTCTTTCGACGCGCCAGTCAAGGTTCGTTAGCATTTCGCCGTCAATTTCACTTTCTGATCTTCTCGGTGGACTTGGCTACGTAAGGCAGCACAAGGTTATGAGAAATAATACTATATTGATATTCATTCTAATGCTGCTGTACTATACACGAGGAGAACGGAACGCGAAAATGTCATAAGGCAGATAATCAATCTCCAATCGATATCTTACTGATGGTATTCTTGTAGAAATTAACGTGAAGCGATAAAAATGATTGAACAAAAGCTGCTAATGCACACGTGTAAAAAAAGTATGAAATAAGATAAAAAGCTTGAATTTAAATGTGATTATCAACCGGTGAATTTAATAAATACAGGAGCTCTTATCGTGCTCTTATGTGACTAAAAAAAGAGGCATTTCTTAAAACAGTAAAAAATCTGAAAAATTAATTCAACTGTAAATTATTTTAAGCACTGCGATATCCATCCTCAGAACAGAGCGAACACTAAAAGACTAATTCGTAATGACAAATAAAACATGAAGAAACCATTCGTTGCAAAGTAGCTATGAACGTATCTCTAGTTATTTCAGCCAATCGATTGATTATTGGTCGCATGGATAAATATGAAATAATGTTGCATTACTAAATCAAATGCATTTCGCAAATTCAGAGAATCTCTCTGATAGCTGATAATTTTCATAGAGGGAAAAATCAGTCCGCTCATTTATCATTTCGACATATGGTACTCTAAATAAAAATTTCATGTTCGTCATCACCGAACGAAATAATGAATAAATGGCTGCAACATCGCACATTAAAGCAACCGCGACTTTTCGTAGTTCATAGTCAAACACACTCTAAAAATAGCGATGTTTATATAATTCTCACCATGTTGGTGTTAATTAATATTAACGCCAATATGATGTGGATTTAACATCATGGGTTTTTAATCCACATCATGGTGTTGATATAAACAACAGAGATTTGAAATTTACATCATGTTGATGTTAATATTAATACTAACATAAGTGAGAATTATATAGGCACCGCATGAGTGTTAAATCCACACCAGAGGAATGCTGAATTCATATTGATATTTTTTAGAGTACACACGAAATGTCTTAGAAAACATGAAAGGAACTAATTAGGTATTTTTATATTTTACAAGATGTGAACATTTTACAACGTGACAATCCGCGCGATTCGATACAATCTCTTGGATATGAGTATGGTCAATGTAATGCTATAAATACTTTGAAGTATTCTTTATATTCTTCTCCAATTGGTCAATTCGTAAAATTCTTTCTTCTGATTAGTTAATCAAATGCTTCAAATAAGATTAGACCGATAACTCTTAACTAACTTTTCATTCGCGAGTCGTTTTATATAGTCGCGTTCCTTTGGTTTTTATTTTTATTATATTTTATGTTTCTGGGCCCGAACACAAAGATTGTCTAAGTGTCGTAAGTCAAGAATCAACATATAAAGCATATGGATTGTCTGCAATGAGAGTAATATTACGTAGTAAGCTATAAGAAATTGACCAATCATAGTTGATTATTCTCCTCACATTCGACTGTGATTGGTCGATTTCATACTGTTTACAACTTTACCATATAACTCCAATTGCAGACAATCTTGTAGCTTTAAAGTTTAAAGCAATAACAAAATCATAGAAAATTCAAAATGTCAATTTGTTTACTGGTTACGACTTGCTGCTTAAGTTTTTTTGCGTCTTTAAGACTATTGGAGATAGTTACAATAAATCCAGTGTTGACTTACGACTCTGTTGACAGTTACAAGTTGCAATTTTGTGTTTACGCCATTTCTCGTAACTTACAAAAGAATTTGAAAAAATGGAGGATAGCGGCACCTCCATGGGCTGATAAGCCATCATCTTCATGCGCACGTGTCGGGCCAGAGATCCATCGTGGGAAAGATCCAATGCGTCCCTCTCGCATCCTTGAGTCTTGTCGCGGTTCTTGAAGACGCGCCGCGCTGAATTGCGGCGCGCTTCCGCGAATGCAATACCTCGCAACAACATCGCGCGACATTGATATCACGGCATGAAAGAAAGGTATTTTATATTTAATAAAATAGAACGGCGATAAAAAGAAACACTGAACAATGCGCGTAAAGTTTTTGATTATGCTAATGTAATTTAAACATCAAAATTCGCGCGACGCGATCGAATCGAGGGAATGATCCACAAAGAGATAAATCCGCAATTGTTAAATTTGCAACTCGTGTGAATGGGCAAAGAAATTTGTACGAATACGATAAAGCGTAAAAAAACGCGCACGCAACTGTCGTAAGATTCGATCCTTCGCTCGGATAACTCAATCAGCTTCTGCAGGATCGAACCGATATGTATAAGAGCAATAAGTTTTGCTCGTTATCAACGGATACTGGCTGATAACGTGGTACAATCTCGTTTGAAAATGCTTGCTTGATGTTTCGCATATGGAGTGAAAGTGCGAGAAAACGAAAGAGAAAAGATTTAAAAAATTAACGGATATATATCAAATAATGAAATAAAATGTGACGAGAGTCATTTTTTTTACTTAGGAACATTACATTCGTAAATTATTTTAAAATAAGATTTTTTAGAACGCACATCATTGATTGCGCGAATTTGTACACAGATTGCGACAATCATAAAATAACTGCTGCTGTCAGAATTGTTAATCATTAATCAAAGACGAAGTTGAATAATTTTGTGTCGGTTTGTACCGATCTTATTCACCTAGCTTTTTTTTTCTCACTCATCATGTATTGACCCATACTATATTAAGTCGCATGTTTATTTCTTTATAAAGCTCTTGCATCTAATTATGCAACATAATAATTATAAATGACTTTGTACATATACTTTCGTAATATAATCGTATTCTACGTTGATATAATTTGCATATTGGATCTCAAACAACTTGCATATTGATTTTAAATTAGAATAAAAATGTATCAATTATCGAAAATTATGTGAGATGCGTTTCTCTAAAGTAATTTCATTATTAAGATCATCTTTATATGAAGATTAAAACCTTATTATTGCGAGCGAATCTTGTTTAATTTATGCTGCACGTGGAAGGATTTTTTGTACGTGCTACGTATATGTGTAGCACTCTGATCAAGAAATATGATGTAACGCGCTATAAACATAATAATAAAACATATTGATGTTTACTTCATACTTTTCTAAATAAAATTTCTCTATGTTGATAATTTCTTATTCAAAAAACAAATTGTAATTCTATATTATACACAGAAATTAAAAATAAATATAATTTTTGTACAAAATAAAAAAAAAAGATTTGATAAAAGATTTTAATTTAAGACGCCATTGATATCAATTTTAGATATTTGATAAGTGTACGCTTTTTAATATGTTTAATACACATGATTTTTTTATCTTTTACAATCTTTTATACATTATTTACAGAACAAATTGGGAACTGTAAGCTGTGGCTGTGTTTCAGTCGCGATTGGAAGAGCGAGCCGATTCAATCGCGGAGTGATCCCTGAAGAAGTGGACATCGCGTTAACAGAGCTGACATTCATCTTATCGAAACGCTTTCTGCACAGACTGTACATTGCTAAGTCCGTCGTTCGACTCCTACCAAGATTAAGGTAATACTCGGCTGATATGATACAATAGTTATGTAGTCTTTTCAGTTCTCTATGGTGCTTCCGCTGGATGGCCGCGACATTTACGAGACCTTAGAATAATATCTGAAGTCGTAGCGAAAGAAAGGTACGATCCTATATCATCCCTTGTCACATGATTCGCTTAATATTACTCATTTAGATGAAGATTAGATTAAATGTCGTCTCTGAGAAAACCAAATGGAAACGAAGAAAACTTGCATCTCTGAGAATCAGAAATCTTAAGGAGAATTATGATTTTTATATTAGCTTTCATATATAAATCCTGCATCACAAATCTTGCGACATTAAGTTTATAAAAATTAATTTAACAAAAACATCTAAAGAAACCCCTATCTAAGAAGATATAAAGATAAATATTTTTTTAAAAAGTCAAAAAGCTCACCGTAGCGTAAGATGAAATTTTTGGTTTCCACTATGGGAAACCACTACAATCACCAGTGGAAGAAGTCGTGCAGAGACTAAAACAATAAAATAGCATATAATTAGTAACTTAAATTTTGCATTAAAAGTTACATTTAATAAAGTTATATTTCTCAAGCCTTCATATTAAAGAAATCGCTTTTTTTTGTAAAATTAGCTAAATATGCAATTTTTATCATGGTTGCATATATTATCTTTTGTCTACTAAATGTATTGTTCGCTTTATCATCAAATTAATATTTACTATCATGTCATTTTGTGTTATACTTGGCAAAGATCTATACTTCGTCCAAATGTAACTTTTTTTTTGTGAGAAATAATTGTTGCAACATTGTGTCTAAAGTGAGAAAGTTTTTGCAGTGACAGAATCATAACTATAGAAATCATGTCAAATAGAAATTGTTTGCCATCGAATAATGTCTACAGTAGAAAAATCCTGGAAAAAAAATAAAGAAAAGGTACGGTAAAGAGGAGAATGAGAAAATCGCAAAACGAAGTCTTATCACAGAGTTTATCTCTCTCTCGCTTTTTTAGGTTATAAGAATATTATATCTCAGAGAGAGATACCCGGTGCAAAGTACAAGGTACGCGTGATTACAAGATACTTTAACTGTCTCGGTTATACCTGTCCGCCCCTCCCTGCGTATTTTTACAGGCGGGGTGGACAAAAGCCCGCGAGCGATTCGGATTACAGTCAAAGGATTAGATCAGCTGTTGATGTCGCGAATCGGCGACGCGTGTATCGAACTACGTTTACGGAAGCCGATATCTCGGATCACGAAATTCACGAGACGATTTTCGTGTAAAGGAACTCAGCGATGACTGTGCTCCTTTAATGTATTGATTGAATTATTCCCGCAGTAACATCAGGCGAACTTGGACGAAATTAGGTTAAAAGACAGCGTCACGTCTTCGCGTCGCCAGGACGGAACAGCGGATTCGATCGCTTACCGTGCGTCGATGTCTGTCGCTCATTCTTGCTCGAGAAAATATACAGGGAGATACGCGTCAACGCTACCGCGTGCACGTTCACGTCACTGACATTTCCCCGTGAATTACCGGGACACAGCACCGTACAGTTACACTCCCGCGCGTCGCGTTCGCCTTCAGGATCGTGGCGAGTGGACCGAATGACGTGAAGCGAGACACGAGACGAAACGAGTTGAAGGACGCGCGCGGACGAACAAACGAGTCAAGAGACGCCAGGCCGTGGTCGCGTCACGGCAGACCGACGTCGAAAGTATCACGTTAAATATAGGATGCAAAATCGTGATGTATACATGATTCGCGAGCGCTTCGCGGGATGCGCACACCAAGCGATATATTCGGCGCCGTTTATCGTCTCCTGCCTGAAGTTAGGCGCTTTACGACACTCTACGATCCGAACGTTTCGTGTCTTGATACTTTATGCATCGTGACTATAGATTTGTATAGACAGTCCGCGCACGTTTCTGTTGAAACTTTAGCACTATTAAGATAATAATAATTTAGATGCTTTCCTTAACTAATTTTATAATTAATGGGGAAGAGGAAAGTAAGAAAAGCAATTGCCTTCTTTACTTTTAGCCCGATATTGATAATGAATTCTTATTTCAAGGCAGTATAAAGTCTGTTCTATAATTGCGTAAGTGCAGTTGAAAATGGTTGTAATTGCAAGAATTAATCAGTCATACACGAGGAAATATTTGATTGTGGTTCATCAATTCTTATAAATACAGTGGCTACATTTAGCAGAAAAAGTAATTTCTGTAACTGTTGTAAAACTGTTGTAAAATTCTTTAATAACATAAAACAGGTTTACAGTTAAATTCAGCGAGGCATTAAGAGCAAGACCAATCACATTAAATAATTTTGCAACAATTGCTGCTTTTTCTACTGAATGCAGCCAATCACTTATGATTATGCTTACGCAATTCTAAAATAAGCTTAATGTTTTAATTATTTTAAGACATTAATACATGTACAGCACATTTGTAATTGATTTACATATGTATGACATTTTAAGATTATACCCAAGCAGAACAACAAGTCATTATGATATCAAAATGACTTCAGAATGATCATTAAAAATCATTTTTCAATCAAATTCCGATTTATTTTGATATTATTGTGACTTGTTCTGTTTGAGTACTTATATGGATATAGTCTTCAAATTAATTAAGGTCTGTTCGCATTACTTGAAATCTCTCAAAATTTTTTAACTTAAAATAAGATAGATACATATTTGGGAGTTGAAAAGTACAAACAACGCGAATAAACCTTAAGAATCAATTATAGGTCTATTCTTTTTAACTAAAGTTCTTTCATCTTTTTTCTTTTTTTTCTATGTAGTGCCGCGTTGGAGAGAAAAAGAGAAAAGATGAACGTCTAAGAAGTTCAAGCTTTATGAATACCGGTTTTAGATGCTCATTCTCTCTCTCTCTCTCTCTCTCTCTCTCTCCCCTCCCCTCTTATTTCCTCCCTCCTCTCATATTTTCTTTACATTGTCTTTATTCAACATATTATGTGACAAAACATCAGTCACACATTATCTCTTCTTCGAATTAA